ATGTGTGAAATCCAGATCTTCTAGAGTCTTCTTATAGGTGGTCCAGCAAATCCCTGTCTTCTCGGTCCCTGTGCACAGTATGACGCATAATCCAGTCCACCACAATTAAGAATATCATCGGTGACAATAGGCAGCCAGCTTGTCTTACTCCTGTATTCACTTAGAACGCCTTTTCGAAGTAGATGAAGTTGAGGTAGAGGTTTGACTGCCATCTTATGATCTGTTCGATGACGATGCGTAGAGTTGCAATTTGGTCAGCACATGATTTGCCTTTTCTGAATGCAGCTTGTTCCGGTTGGCGGAAGTATGTATCCAGTGGATCCTTTATTCTCTCCAGGGTGATGCGACTTAGTATTTTACTTGGTGTGGACAAGAGTATGATTCCACGCCAGTTTTTTGCAGATGCCTAAGTCGCCCTCCTTTGGTAGCTTGACAAGGTGGTCAGCCTTTCTTTCAATCGGCAGGTACCCTTCCTTCCTTGCAGTAATGACGTGGGCACATCTGTGGAAGTCTCTGGGTCCGTTTTCAGTGCTTCGTGGGGAATTCCGTCTGGTCCTGGTGCCTTCCCAGCTGGCTTTCAGTAGCTTGATCGCATTAAGGATTTCTGCTTTTGTTGGGGGATTGGTGTCCACTGGCAGGCAGTTCGGTGCGAGCTCTTGGTGTTATTTCTGGTCGAGCTGCAGGTGATGGTCGATTCAAGAGTCCTTTAAAGTGATCAGACAATTGTTTTATTTGTTCCTCCTTCTTGGTGATTAGGTTCCCTTGAACATTTCTCTCTTGCCAAGATTGAAAATGGTCCTTTGAAACCAGTAATAGAAAAAGCTGATTCTTATTTTCGTTATGTTGATGATACCTTTATTATTCTCGATGTGAAAGCAGACAGGAATGAAATGTTAAAACAGTTTAATGATGCACGTCCATCGCTCATCTTCACTTGTGAAGAAGAATATGATGGTGGACTGCATTTCCTTGACGTCCAATTGAGCAGAAGAGAGGATGGTTCACTCAAGAGAGATGTCTATAGAAAACCTACATCTGTAGGACAATATACACATTCCCTCAGTTTTGTACCAATCCGATACAAAATCAATTTGGTCAGATGTCTGACGAATAGAGCAAGACGTATTTGTACAGATGACTGCTTAGAAAATGAGCTAGAATACATCCAAAATACGTTGGTCCAAATGGGTTATCCTAGTAGATTTGTAAGGAGACACATGAATACCAGGTACAATAAAGAGAAACTGACAACAGTTAAAAAGAAACAACTGTTCATGAAACTGCAATTTAATGGGGACGTGGCTAGTGAAGTCTTACATCTGAGATTAGCAAGAGCGACAAAACGGACTTATACTGCCGCCACCCTTTGTTTGTCATTTTCCAGCCGACCACTTATGATTGCTCAAGTGAAAGACAAGCTACTTAGCTATACCACTTCCATGTGTATTTAAAAATTTAGTTGCTCCTGTGGAGAGAGCTATATAGGCCGAACAACTAGACAGCCTAACAAACGCACTAATGAGCATCTCCCTTCATAGTTCGGAAAAGGTCAAATAAAATTCATACGAAATTATATTTCGGCTCATTTGATTGATAGTGGTCACCAAGTGGACAAAAATAGTGCCTTCAAAGTTATCTATCGCATTTCATCGAGTCTTTCGAACGGAATCAGAAACCGTCATTTACACTTAGCTGAAGCTATGGGAATTTGAGAGAACAATCCTAGTCTTTGTACACAAAAGAAGTTTGTTCTACCTTTCTGTCTCCGTTGGCCTAGGTGAATTCTATTCAAAACCTTCCCACCCTCTCTTATCTTCCATCTCCTTCGTACTTTTATGATATTTATTTAAACTCTGATTATCTGTCCACTTCACCTTTTAAGATTTGATCTAATTTATTTATTTATTGAATTGTCTAATATATACATACACTATCTTTGTTATTCTTATCACCTGTATAACTCTTATTATCAATATTTTGTTATCATTATAATCATCGTCATTAACTTCGTTCAAAACATTTACCACATTAGTATTATTATTATGATTATTATTATTCGATCCACAAAATCACCGTCATTGGTTTAAATTTTATATATATAAGTCTATGTAAATTAGAGTAAAGCCTGAAGATCTAATTGAAAACAATGTTGTTCGCTTATATGACTTAATATTTTGCTTGGAGTATACAGAAGCACTATTCCAAGTCGGTTTGAATGGAGGCCTAAAAAACACTTCTTTGGTAGTTTGACAAGATAGTCATTTTTCCAACCCATAGTTACCTTCCCTCCCTCCCAAACACTGCAGTGATGGTGTGAGGATATTCGTTAAGACATCTAGACTCGTTTTCAATGCTGCCAAAGGAATTCTGTCTAGTTCTGTCGCCTTTACAGTCTTCAGTGACATTCATAACCACAGCTTTTGTTGGGGAACTGATATTTGACCAAGGAAAGCAAACACGTAAACCACCTTGAACTCACTTTATTCGTTGGATAACAGAACTTACAATTGTTACAGTACCACAATGACCTTTGTGCTCGAAATGATTTGCGAACTTCATCCTGATATCATTTTTAAGTAGTGTTTAATTAATGAGTTGATATCTCGTTAGGTTAAGTGCTACGATTATGGTTAGGGTGTCACTTTTATTATCTGTATTGTTATAATAAGTACTAAGGGGTCATCTGTATTTTTCTAGTTGATGAACAGGATTTTTATAAAAAGTACCTTCGTTATTCGAATAGGCTGTCTCAAGGTCACCCATGCATTCCCATTCCTTGGATCACCATTGTTTCAAATTGCCTGGTGTCCATTGACAGTTCTGTGGAGGTATTTCTGAACAAGTTGCAGATGGTGATCAGCTCAAGAGTCCTTTGAAGTGATCAGCCTAGTGTCACCTTTGTTCTTCCTTTTTAGTAATTAGGTCCTCTTCACTATCTTTCATTAGTTCCATCTGTGTTAGTCTAGGTCCGTATAGCGACCTGGTTATCTGGAAAAATGTTCTGGCGTCCCTCTTCCCTTCTGTTTCAGTTTCCAGTGTATCGTAGAATTAATTGTCTTTTATCTTTACAAACACTCTTCCTCACTTCTTTATTCAGTGCGTTGCACAGTGAACTCAGCTGCTCTTTTAGTTGCCCATCTCAGTACTGGTTCGTCTTCGGTTGACCATCCCCCTCTTCTCTATCAACTTTCACATGTTTGTGCAGGGCCATTCCTTGTCTTGCCTCTCCTTCCTTCCCAAAACGAATATATATTTTTCTTTCAACATCACTTTCAGAGAGTTCAAGTGCTCTTCCACAACGGTTTCCTCGGAGATGCCACATAATGTCTCCGATTCCGCTTTGATGACTGCAGTAGTGTGGTGAAAGGAGGCTGCTAGCCAATTGGTAGACATTAATTTACGTCAATGTTTATGTCGCAAATATTGGACGTGAGAAAATATGAACAAGACTGATTCAACAACCAATCACAGCAGACATTGTGTAGGCAGATACAGTTAACATATAGATGGCCCGATATTCATGAAACAGTCACAAGCGATGCAAGGTCAACTTTCTTTAAGAAACAACCAATCAGAAGACTGTGTTTGTCTGCTTGAATAAGCTATAATAATGTACATGAAAAGATATAAATACGTGTTGATTTCCTTAATAAACGATCTGTTGCCTGGTCCTTTTCTTTTGTTGTTACAGTAGTAGTTTCATCCTTCAGTCTATGGTTCTTGTACCTGAATTGTAGTCTGTCAGCTTTGCTGAAGCCTTTCAACCTGACTACGAAAGTCACTTTCACTAGATAATGATATACACCCACATCTGCTCCTCTTCTCTAATTCGTGTCCAGCAGGCTGCGTCTCCACTTTCTTGAGATTGAGATGAAGGCTGTCTCATTTTTTAACTCATGGAAAATTCCCAATATAACATATAGAAAATCAAAGTGATTCACCAAAGAAACTTTTTTCAACGAATCTATCATCAAGCTGTACAATTAGTTTTAAGTGCATTTCATACTATTATTCTATGCATTCATACCTATGATTCAACGCCCTCAGTGGATATGGATATAACTTCTTAAAAACTATATATATATATATATACGATTGTACAGCTTGACGACAAATTTGTTGAAAAGTCTCTTTGCTTAGTAACTTGTTTTGAATTTCTCTATCTCATTTTTGGTGCGTCCATCAATAGACCATGTCGTCCTTGTGTTTCTACACTCTACCTTAAATAATCGAATCACTGTAGGCGTAGAAGTCTGAGAAGAGTTCTCCATTGTCATTCATTTCGCCGACAGCCTTCCGAGCCACGACGAATTCCCCTCTTGTGTTGTCTCTCTGCTTCCAGTCTCGATTGCATTCATATCACCCATCAGGATTTTGATTGTGCCATTGGAGTTGTTATCCATTACTGTTTGCAGTTGTCTATAGAAATCATCCTTCTCTTGTTGTCGTAGGCATGTAGCATTACATGATAATTGTAACTTTGCTTCTTTTTGTGTTGAATCTTGACGTCATCATCCTGGAGGAGACTGGTTCCCGCTGCATAAGAGCTTTGGATGCTGTTGGTAACACTACGATAACCACCCCTTCAGTGTAGTCGTGGTTACCATCTGGGTGACCGGAGTAGATTATTGACTCTCTTTTTTATTTTTTTGATAACAACAAGGACGAATTCTGTTGATTTTGTTTAGTAGAATAGTTTGTTCAGTACAATGACCTTATCCTAAACAAAAATACACAGTGCACGTAGGCGTACACAGTATTGTATGCATAATTTTTGTAAGATGTGAGTGAAAATAGGAACCACTGAAGGCACTTGTGAGTTAACGTACAAATTTCTTTCTAGAAGAGAAAAATCAACTGAGGCCAATGCTAAAAATGTCGAAAATACAGAGAAAATAAATCTACCAATGATTCAGCATAACAAATAGATAAATTTCGATCATTATTAAAGGATAAAAAATTACCAGGTGAACTAATGAGATAAAGAACGTTTAGCTTACAGCTTTAATCGCATACCAGCCGTTGCAGCTAAATACACTGGTGTGTTTTGTTTCTGTTTATTAGACAAACTGGATGTTAATTTATCCAATTTCGGTTTCATTGCTGTATACGCTTCTGTTGCATCATCAACGTAATTTGATATTCCTGGAGCTAAATAAATAAAATTGTATAAACAAGGCTTAAATAATCAACATATAAAATGATGTGTAAAAGCATAATGAATTAGTTAGTGACACCGTAATAAGAGGGAAACAATTAGATTGATAATGAAAGCCAAATCATGTAACATGAACAGTCTAAATTTAATACCAGTGTTGTTAACGCTAAATTGTTATATCTTCATACCGATCTCAACCGTTGTCAATCCATATGGATCAAAAGCGTCAGACGATATCAGAAGAGTACTCAATAAACAAATCAGAGTTTTCTTCGAAACATCAGACACATTACAAGACAACCTTGTCCATGTGAAAGACCGAAATCCAAAGAATTCACAATCCTATTGTGTCTACAAAAATAAAATGCTTCGAATGTGATACTATATTCATCGGGCAAACATCAGGAGAAATCACGAACAGAAGAAATATACATCGTAGAGCATCTGTTCGATCACCGATAGATCCAGTCAGTAAAATAAAAAAGCTTGAAAAATCACCAGCCATAGGTCTACATGTTATAGAATCAGGTCACAAAATTGATTTTGACACTTGAAATAATCCAGAAAAATTTCAGAAATCACAAAGAACGTCTGAAGCACTTCATATCAAATTGAATCCAAATTGTCTGAATAAGAATGATGAACTAAAACAGAATTTGACCTAGTTACAAAATTCCCACCCCCCATAAAATGAAAAAACACAAATGTGATAGGCAATTTCATTATATACATATTGATTTTATAATTGTATACGCTTGTCAAATCCAACCATCTACACTTGGTTTGGTTATCTCCACCAGCTGACCAACTTGACAACCTACAAATTACCCCATGCTGATGAACCATGATAAAGTTGTGATATATAAGCTGAGGTTTTGTAAATTAGGGTTGAATAATACTTTCAAGTATTGCTTTGTAGATATTTTGCTTGATAGGTTAGAAGATTGATAGAAGTTAGAATTCATCAGCCATTACATCGGGTCCAAGTGGCTTATTGGTCTACCAGCTCGCCTTGTAACCTGCAGGTCCTGGGTTCGAACCTCGGTGAATGCGTACTCAGAAGAGTCACAAACTAGGACGAAACAGCTGCCCACTACTCCCAGGTTTTCCAATGGTTCTCTAATCGATGTCAGTTCGTGGTGAAATCCTCCAACTAATAATACTTTGATAAAGGTATTAGCATTAAACAGCGAAACGTCAAAAAACAATATCGTTTTCTTTTTCATTCATTGGGAAATACAAAAACGTTTATAACAACAGATTCTCCATTACCTCCCTTCTTTGGTTTAGTTATCATTGTTATTTTGACCTTCAGTATGTCTTTTCAACTTGACTTAAGTCTATTTACTCACCCCTGAACTCTTTATTATTTTTATATATTTATGTTTTTCTGTGACAAGCCTGTGTGTGATCAGATTGTTCAAAATGTGTCGCGCAAATACATTACACGATTGAGACAAATTGCGTCGTTTTATTGCTTTTTCCAAATTCATAAAGGTAACTAATTGTAACAAACTATGGTTTTCTGAGATCTGTTTATATTTCCGATTCTATTCCTGAATGTACTCGAAAATCTCCATCCACCCAAAAGACTAGTACTCGTGTGAAGCATATCCCGCATATGCATGTCTTAGTAACTACATTTATTCCATTTTTCACGCAGAAATTAAGCACTCCATCGTCGTGGAAAATTTTATGCAAATATAGAAGAGGGGTTATAATTTGATTTGATTGTACCACCTGTAAATCAAATTGGATATCAAAGGTCATATTCCATGGAGAATGCTGTATTTCGATGTCGCCTGTATCACTTATTCCAAGTTACCTTTGTAATTGTTTCAGACACTGATGATTCCTCAATACACACAATGAAAAGTCTTTATTATGATGTTTTTCACATTATAAGCATATCTTGTTTGTCATGAATGTACTAGACAGACTGTTCACCAGTAATTCGTGATATGCAGAGAGAAAAATTTTAGAACGAAACAGATTTATAAACTGACTGACATACTTCATTACGGAAGAACAAATGAACTTAAACTTTATGTCTATTAAACATGAGAATGAAGAAAGTAACAAAGTCAAGAACAAGAAAACAAATTATTATTTGCCATTATAACAGCCATTAAAATACGAGATTTTATTTATTACGTATTTCAGTATATTCAAGTATATTTTTACGCATGAATGCTATAATTACAATTAGAATAATTACAGTTTAATCAGTCTGAACAAAATTGCCTACAAATAGAAACGAATAACACTAGATACAACTGCCATACCGGCTAAAATGAACTCATCTAATTCTAATATATATATATATATATATATATATATATATATATATATAAACGTTCAAGTGGAGTCAATTATGAACGGATGTTAAAGAACTTCAGGGAATTATAAATAATTGTGAAAAATGATATTTTTCATTTAATTATAAAATCAATCCAACTCTGTTGGTACAGCTCATTGAAATTCTATGCCTCCACAACTACCATTCAAACGTGAATAGATTAGGTTCATGATACTGAAAGTGAGCAAAACATGCTTTCAACTTCAGTCGCTGCCCAACAATGAGAAATCACTTCCATCATTGATTCGTCTTAACTAAACTCATAAGTAAACACCATATACATTAAATAAACATGCATTGAAGCCTTTCATATTATCATTATTATTAAAAGACGATGCTTTTAGCATTACCAATCGTACACCGACTACTACTTTATCGCGCATTTAATATGACCATTTATTATTCTCTTGGGTTCCAAATGGAACATCGGGCTTCAACAGTACATCTCTATTTCATCCTGTCTCCTGAAGTTCTTAATTGGCTCCAAGACTACACATAGGCCATCATCTCCTCCTCACACGATCTCTTCCAAGTCACCCACAGACGCCTAGCTCATTGGTTCCCATTCACGTTCCACTCGAAGCACTTCCTGGAGTTAGATATCATTCATTGACGTGTGTCGACTCCATCTCCATTCTCTTCAGCATATTTATTGGGTAATGGGTTCTTTGTTGCTTCTTTACTGGAAATCCTCCTTGTTGCTTATCCTTTCTGGCTGACCATCTGATCTTCAGTATGGAGTCGGCGAAAGCATCTGCTGGTGAAAGTCTGCAGTAACCTGTTAGAAATGATTTCCGTAACATGCTCACCAAGTCTGTGAACCATATAGAAGCACTAACTAAATTGACATTAGTGTTAAAAATCCGAATCTTGTTCTTAATGCTGATTGCAGTAGATTTTCAGATAGATCTCAGATTAGTGGACTTCTGTCGTTCTTTTTCGATTTTGGCTTTGACATCTTCATCTGTGTCGCCCTCGATTGAAACGATACTGTCTAGATAAGTGAAGGAAGTGACTTCCTTCAAATTTCTATTCTACTGTCCGGTCCTGAGCCTGGAAAGAGAGGATGTAGAGCTACCCTACAGCAGAAAATCAACCCAGATGCCATTTATAAATTTGAGTTACATCAAAAGTAGATAGAGCTTTTATAAACATTTTGAAGAATTACTTTGTATTTCGTACCGATGAAATACAAACGTAATTTCGGAGAATAACACGATGCTATTCTGTTATTCGCAAAATTTAACTGGATAATTTACTTATCCATAGGTGGAGTGTTTCGCAATTGAGAAAAACTTATTGAACACCAAAGAGTACTGTGTGGTTATTTTGTGGATATATCATTAGTATTCCATTCGATGTACAGTGATGGGGGAGGGGCGGGGCGTGCATGGCAGAAGAAACAGGATGACAGATTGATTAAAACATGTCAAGTACTGCAATATGCCAAACCTCTGTGACTATCGTACAGACTACGGCTTCTTCTCACAAACGGTTCGTTCTAGTGTGCTTTTTCAGCCCCCAGTAAGATCAAAGATCTGTTTATTTTCTTCTTCTAATACTTGTTAAACAACTTGTGTACGTCATTTTTGTCATATATTTTTCATACAGAAGTTATTGTAACGTTTGTGTATAGAGAATGACACACTGAAATCATTTTTGGTGGGTCGGCTTTATGTCATAATGGTCTACATCGTCCAATGAATAAATAGCTAATTTTTGTTATTGTTCTTTTCCTCCTAACTAGAAACTGAAAGTCATGAGCCCATGAAATCACTACTACAATAAATGAAGAGATTAATTCCGATTATATAAACATATGTGTTTCAGAATTTAATTGGTAGATGGTGACTAGCAGTGGAATCCAGGATGCGCATTTCGTCCTATTTGGGACTCATCGGATGGATTCACCTGCGTACCCCAGTGAGTGATGATGTTGTACAAGAGGTGGCTCTCGTGGCCCAAGTGGTCTAGTGGATAGCGCTTTAGCGATTGAACCTATGGGCACTGGGTTCGAGCCTCGTTGGGAACATCATCACTAACTGGGGGAATGCAGATACATCCACGTGACGAGTCCCAAATAGGACGAAATTCACATCCTGGATTCCACTGCTAGTCACCATCCACCAATTAAATTCTAATAACATGCCCAGACATCGTCGAAGCATCTGCTCAAGAAGCCGACATGTCAACCTGAGACTGAGCACTTCGGTCCAATCAATCAAGGGGAAAATCTGAAATTCAATTAAATAAATATATGCTTCATTAAGCTCAAACTGAAATCATAATTAATGTTTCGTTGTCGAGTGAAGTTGCGATTCCTCATTGTTAAAACTTTTAGACGTAGGATACATTGATTAGCTTTCAGTGGTTGCGTTCCTGATGTTACTGTGTGGGGATATCTATGACCCAATTAGTCCAGTCTTCACTCAATATACGTTTGCCAAATCAACCACGTGAAACAAGTTATAAAATACAGCGATAATGAATCGATTTTAATGTAAAATACAAGTGATGTCTGGATTGGAAGGTACAGTGTCCTCCGTTGTCCAATTCAAACTGATTTTGGTCTGAATTCGTTTAAGATTACTCGATTAAACAGCCATCGTAACGGTCATAACGACAAAGAACAAGCAATTAGAGATCAAGAAATGAGGAATAAAACTGTATTGATTAAAGTGAGTCTGAAACTCGGTTATTTATAGGATATTGAAGCTGAATCATCAAAGTATTGAGCTAACAGTACATAAGGCATTCGTAACGCTGTAAATGATAATAGTGTTTTACATTTTAGCTTTATTCCTTTGCATTCTGAGTGGTGCATAGGGCTTCAAGCTTCAGTTTTGAAGTTTTGACAGCAGTAATGTTATTCTCTTTTATGGGATGGGGCTGCAAGAGTCGAAACCCAACCTTCCCGCTTTCTCAGGCTTACGACCGACTAAGCGAGGTTTACGAATGAGTTAGCCGGAATTTAAACTTTGGTTCACATAGGGCTGTAGCCCTATGTAACTCAGAGAGCTAGAGGCTTGAAGTTTCTGTAGCAGTGTTAATTTTTACAGGATAAGGTTGTTAGCCTCATGCCCAACCTTTTAGCTTTACCAGTCTCATTACTGGTTTAGCGAGGTAACAGATATAAATTATAATTCCATAATAATATAGCAAAAATCTCCCAATTCATTGGATAAATAATCATGTGATATTACGCAAACACAACGTACTGAACATTTCATATATACACAAGGATACTTTATTAAGTCCTAAAAACTTAATCAGCTATGCTTCCTACATATCGATGAAGTTCAAGTAACTAATAATTCATTGATTGAAAAACGTGAAGAATAAGGAAGTAGAATGCAGTGGATTACAGTCAATGAGCAAAAACAACAACTATTCATCTATCTTGTCTTTATTTTTCTTTACATCAAAAAACTGTACATTCAGGACAGTAAATGAAAGTGACTAATATTCTTCGCCCACAAAATTAGGATATAAACTAGATAACTGATCTTAGCATATACGAAGGAGGATGTACTGACTAGATATTGGGAACACTTATTTATAGGAGGAAGTAAAATCTAAGCTGTATACCAGAGCCGATCATCAAGATTTAGAATCTGAATCATTCAGTATTTAACATGTGAATTTGGAAACAATGGAAAAACTTTAAATTGTTTTTCAACTTTACAAATTGTGTGAGATGAATAAAATTTCATTTGGAGAACTTAGAAGATTTCCACATCATCACAACAAACAGTAAAGAAGTTTTAGAAAACAGACAGCAATTCTGTCACAGTTGTTATCTGAAGGAAAAACTAGGATGAAACTGATACTGTCTACAAGGCATCGAACGATATTTGTCTAGCAGTCCTAATTAGAGAAACCAAGTAATCTCCCTTGTAAACTTCAAAGGCTAAACTTATCATACAGAAGTGAAGTAAAGCCCAATAGAGCTTGAAAGTAAAAGTGTGGGGTAAATCAAACTTTCTTTAATGTCGAAACCAATAAAAACGTCTTAGGAAGTCATCAGAATAGTTTGAGCACATGTAAATGGCAGATTCACATAAAACAGGTTATGAAGATAGCGTATAGAACGTGAACAACCTCTACAAATGAAAACCAGAGCATCATTCAGTATAAATAATAAAACATATTTCACCACAAACGTCATCAAGAACCGATATTAGTTAGCGAATTGTTGGAGACCAGTGAGCACTCGGTTTGGGTGCACGCTGCTGAAGAGTTCCGAAATAGAATGAAGCAGTTTACCAGTGCTCTCCGGTGCTCAGTAGTTTTCGGAATGATGTGGGTTCTTCATGAAATATACCTTGAAATTAAACAAATCTCTATAATCTAACACTTGAAAATAAAAGTTGTATTCGTCTAAGGGTACTCATTTTTACTTCAAATGCGTTATTATAAATCTTAATCAAAATCATGAAATATATATTTGCAGAAGTTCTTGTTTCCTCTCTAAAATTAGGAATTTTTACAATTTAATCTGCATTACTTCAACCTAACCAGTGTACTGTGAAACTTACTTAAAACAAATGACCACTAAAATGAGTTCTTCATTTGAGTATATTAAAAAAATTAATTTGCAAAAACTGACTTCATACCCAATGTCCCGCGTATTGTAGAACAGATTTCTACGTAACTACGTGTTATATCAAGTTTAATGAATGTATAAACGTTATAAGTATAAATAGTGAGAAGATGAATTCATTTACTTACAGACTTTATCACTAGCCACTTCTGTAACTTTTCCATTTGATCGAAACGGTTCATCCGTCCATTTATATAGATGAAGTTTTGAAGATGTTGATCCTGCATCAATTACTACGGAAAACTGAATTATAAACAAAGTAGTAAGTAAGATGTATGAAAAGCAAGAAAAACGTTTGCACTAGTATATGTAAAAAGAGGTAGGGAGCAAAACAGAATTTAAGCAGAAATTGAGAAATAAGCTTAAATAATTGCTCAAGTGTATATTAATCTCAGTGAATCCTATAATTTAAATTAGGCGTTCTTTCCTCATTACCTACTGACAGAAAAATAAAAAAGTAACATATGTTAAGGGAAAAGAAAGAGTAATTTATGCAAATTTCTTCCATGTAATTCGAATGATAACGCGATAAATCACACCACCTATTTGTCATATGATTTATTTGCATCAAGTTAACTGTATGAATTTTAATTACTCCCACTACAGAAAAGATGATTTAAATATGCCTTGACGGGAAAAGAAATTACTGTTTGTTAGTGTATCATTTTCGCTATGGACAAATGTGCATGACATAAAAATAGGAAAAAAGTAAGGTCTTTCCTATTCAACTACAACTAGTGGAGATACATCTCTTTCTTTGCTCATTGAGACATTTAACTTCTATCACTTTTACGCTACTCACAACTAATACGCTGCCAGAAGCATTTAAATTAAAACAGTCCTACAGAAGAGTGATCACAGATCAGACAGCTTAGTTATTGTGGTTGTAATTCTAGCAGTATGCAAAGACAGAAACTAACTATAAAAACATCCACCAATGATATTTGTTTATCTAAAGTTAGATGCAGTATATCATAATAATGTTAGTTTATGGATGTCCAAACAAAATTAGCATCCTATCAGTTCTGGTGAGTAAGTGATATGTTGAGTTACTATCAAAGAAGGTGAACAATTTGACAACTACTTTGAACAAATGAGTTTGACTAATGGGTATTGGTTAGTAATATATTTATCCGGTTCCCCATTATTTTAAACACTCGTTTTGTATTGGCCGGGTTCGCCTTCTGCGCGCACAATTTTCAATGCTAGATATTGAATGGTAGGAAATCTTAGACTCAAATTTCCTACATTCTAGCATTGATATACGAAGTCTATTTTAATCTTCCAGAAACCAATGTAGCCTTCGACATTCAAATTGGAGTTATTAATTTCAGAAGTTAGCAGCTTTAATACTGTCACAAGTAATCCTAGTATTGTCATTTTTTCTTTCGCTCAGGTTATCGCATGTCGAACATCTGAAGACTAATGTACCTGCCCATAAGAAATCAGTTATCAGCCATCAATTACTTTCGTAAGTTAACTACCGATTGGTGAAAAATCATCTACTTATTTGTGCAAGTAACTACCACATAATCCACGGGGCTATTGTCAGGGAATTCTGTGTATTAATTTTATCCCAAATAGAACAACTGTTTTGTATTCACTATGAAACTAAAACTGTGAATATCTGAAGAGAATTGACGAAACGAAACAGATCTGTATAATTCTTCTGCAATATGTATACCTCTAAATTACAAATTTGTAACCTGTACTACACAATTTTCTGGTACTTAGAATGACTTAGGGCCATAACACACAAGCTCTGTTGTTAGATGCATGAAGTACACGTTTCACACTTACTGTGAATAGTCAGCGCATTAGTCTCCTAGACACAATTTCTACTGTTTCAAGGCTTACAAACATCATTTACGCATAAAAGCATAACATCTGAGATGATTGAACTACCATTAAACACATGGGTAAAAGAATAAGTCACAAATATTTTCCTTGATCAATATTTCTCTAAAAAAAACTTCTTTTGTTATAAGTAAATACCTACTATTAGCCTCTGCTTACAAATGCTTGTTAAATTTTCCTCGAACTTAATGTATATATATATATATATATATGTAACCGAGAGGGTTGATAATCAGTTAGTTAAGTACTAAATAATGATTTGGGAACAACTGATAGGAAACAAGAAAACAACGAATTGAAAATGGATTATAAATTGTCAAAATTAAGGGACTGCATTGCAGTAAATACGGCTGGATAAAACATTTCTGAACATAGAGTTCCATTTTTTTCTTATGGATTGCTAGAGCTTCCACTGCATGAATGAGATACAAACGAAATCCCTTTGAACAACTTGATTTTTCTTTATACATTACGTTGTATGGAGTCTCTGTTGAGTTTGACATAGCCTTACTTACTACCATGGACTTAGTGACAATTTTATTTTCAGGAGTTTCGACATAGTAAACTCTATGTATTCCCTTAACTGATTTTTGATTTTGGCTTTTTGTAATCCACTTTCAATTCTTTTTTCTGTTGTTTCCTATCGATCGTTTCCAAATGATTATTTGCCATTTAAATAATTAGTTGTCAACTGTCTTCATTACACAAGATTATTCACCATTTTCTTTTACAAATTTTCATTTCTTATACACTGTGATTACATATATCACTAACTGACAAGAACCTGCAACCTTCTTTCTGTCAACTAACACTATGTAAATGAACCCCCGAATAACTATGTAGCGAAAAGACAACTCTTCGCTGACTTATGTGCTTTTAATTAAATCACATAGAGATTTTCCATACCCTAAAAAGTGGATAACAAGAATATTGAAAGGATAATAACTCACCATATCTGGAATATTAAGACTTATAACGTACACAATAATAAGAATTATTATTCCAATTAAAGTCAATATGAGTATAACTATAGCGAAAAATTCCAGTGCTCTGCGTAGATTTCTATTACACTCCATTACTTCATGAGATGATTTTGTAAGAGTTGCCTGAGCAATTACAAAGACAAAAACGAAATGTGTTAAACATCTTTAAAATGATATTTATTACCAGATAACATAATGGGGAAAAAACTTCTACGAAAATTATACAGACACATTCTGTTTTCTCCAATCGATCCCTACACTGTAGCAGAAGAAGTACGTCCCAGTCAGCTAACTTGTTAACCTCACCCAATTTACTAGTCGATAATGAGTCCGGATAGAATAGAAGGTTGGGAATGAGGCCACCAACCTCATCCTATAAAAACAAGATCACGGTATTGTGAAACTTCAAGGCTTCAATCCTGAAGCTCAATGTTCCAATCGAAACTCAGAGGAGTAAATTTAAAAACATCTAAGTAGTAACGCGAATATTATTATAAACTCTATCTAAAAGTGTATTACACGTGAAGATATCGTAGAAGTAATGATTAATTTTCAAGCTACAGAAATTCTTTACTATAACAATAAGTGAAAATGATCAGTCCTTTCGGTCCATCGGTAGTCCTTCATCTAAACAAATGGTTAGTAAAAATGACGAAAAATCAGAGAACCGATAAAACGTCGTCAAAATACTGTCAATCCAATTATCAAAATCTTGTTATTCAGAAACTTAAATACCTTTAAACGCCACATAACTATAATAATATATTTCGGAACCGAATATAGTCCAATTATAGCCCTTCCCAATTAATTACGATATAAAATGACACAAGGGAGGCTAACTTCGTGAACAAAGTCTTCGACCAACTTTCAAACTATTTTGTAAAGGTATTTAAAATGTGTGATTCCAACAAATTTTTATTTCAACTTATTATACTTCAACTAATGTACTTATTCCCTTCATGAAAGTAAGTCCAATCTACAAATAAGGTGAGTTACCTTAACTCTAGTTTACTAATTCACATGCCGATTGACAAAACATCTAATAAGTATACCCTCTATATCACGATATAGTTAAATTCAACCAGTAAGTTCCCGGATAAAGAAAAACTCATCTCTCAAAACAATAATAATAATATTCGCATGATATTGTCAAAAGGAATAAACAAATCATTAATGTACTAATCCTGTATTTTTGATACATCATACTTTATGTTTTTATTTTGTTCGCATTTATGCATTATTCAATGCTTTCCATGAGAGAATAGTTTTGTTTGATATAATACATAGTTAGAGAACCACTGGAAAACCTGGGAGTACTGGACAGCCGTTTCGTCCTAGTTTGGGACTCCTCAGCAGTACGCACCCACCGGGATTCGAACCCAGGACCTTCTGGTTACAAGGCGAGCTCGTAGACCATTGAGCCACTGGGACCCGATCCAATGGACCTTGAATTCTAACTTCTGCCAGTTCACGACATAGCGTGACCACTTCGCAATGTCTTCTTCGATGAGTTACTGCCTCATCTTCGACCTGCTGTACCCTACTGGTCACGGCTTCCCACTAGAACCCCAGGTTAACTGCCTGAATAGGGCCAGTCACTAGTGAGCATCAGATGAATTTTCAAGTATTGGTTTTTGTAGGGATTTTGTTTGATTGCATGGAGGAATTTAATCATGAGCTGACATCAGTTAGAGAACCACTGGAAAACCTGGGAGTACTGGACAGCCGTTTCGTCCTAGTTTGGGACTCCTCAGCAGTACGCACCCACCGGGATTCGAACCCAGGACCTTCTGGTTACAAGGCGAGCTCGTAGACCATTGAGCCACTGGGACCCGATCCAATGGTCCTTGAATTCCAACTTTTGCCAGTTCACGACAAAGCGCATGAGGAGTCCCAAACTAGGACGAAACGGCTGTCCAGTACTCCCAGGTTTTCCAGTGGTTCTCTAACTGATGTCAGCTCATGATTAAATTCCTCCATGCAATCAAACAAAATCCCTACAAAAACCAATACTTGAAAATTCATCTGATGCTCACTAGTGACTGGCCCTATTCAGGCAGTTAACCTGGGGTTCTAGTGGGAAGCCGTGACCAGTAGGGTACAGCAGGTCGAAGATGAGGCAGTAACTCATCGAAGAAGACATTGCGAAGTGGTCACGCTATGTCGTGAACTGGCAGAAGTTAGAATTCAAGGTCCATTGGATCGGGTCCCAGTGGCTCAATGGTCTACGAGCTCGCCTTGTAACCAGAAGGTCCTGGGTTCGAATCCCGGTGGGTGCGTACTGCTGAGGAGTCCCAAACTAGGATAATACATAGTGACGAACCCTCTCTTCACTAATCACTGAATCTTCTACATTAAACACATGCAATAAGAAATGACTCAACAGCAATACCTGAGATATTGAAAATGTTGCAATTAATGAAACCACAGGATAAAGAATAATGGAACTATATAAACAAAATCCAAAAGTCATGTGCATTCCTTGATATGATTATAAGTAACGGATTGTGCTGGATAGGTCATCAGTGTGCTATGTAACATAGAATTATGAAGTTATCCTCTACCACAGTGCTAAAATTCTCTTCTTATATTCATAACTTCAGTAGAAACTGCATAACTTGTTCTGATTGCTGATTATTCATAAAGTCGACGATTCAGATACTCCAATAGTTATTTCGTTGTAGTAAGCTTCTAAAATTATCACGATTTGTAGATTAGAAACATTTTAGGAAATGGAAGTTCCCAGTCGAGTAGTTTTCGCTCAACACACCAGTCATTACCGAAAGATAATTTGTCATGGTCAAGTGATATATATTCAGGTGGATAGATTATCAGTAGACCTTGTCTTACTTGTGCATATACTCAGAATGCAAGCTGAGCTATGATCGAGAAGGCCGACACCACTGATTGAATGTCCTATCCTAGTGCTCCACATGTATGTATTAAGTAAACCCTTAGATGACGCGATAATATAAAACTGATGAATAATAAGGAAGAAGGTACTAAACATCTGCTGTTATTTGAACAATATAAATCTATTTTCATGAATACTATGAAAGCGTTAAAATATATCGATTCATAATATAGGAAACTAAAGTTTTATCATCGTTCAATGAGATCAGGTACCTCATAATGTTTTGAAGTTAGCTACCATTTGTTGAATAGAATCTACACACGACCCTCTTTGATATAACTTTCATCGCTCAATGTTCTTCAGATATTTTCTTTCATAACTTCTGAGGAAATGATACGTTTTTGCCCTTAATACACCTGTGCACTGCCTTAGGCTTGTATTTGTAAGCTTTTTCTTGTATGAAGTCCTTAGAGTGTACATAACCGTCAAGTCATTACGTAAAAACAAACGAATGTTTAGGCTGTATTGATTTTCATTTATTTTATATATATAAACAGATCTATCTCACTCAACTTTATACAGAAGTCATCAACATTAAAATTACACTTGATATAGTGACATTGTATCGATGCATTGATCCATTTTTACACCAAGCAGTCAGAATACACTTAGGTATAACAGGGAATAAACACCTCTATAAGTTGGCATCATACACTCTTATTGGTGACATTAATTTGCATAGTTCTGTAAAGTTCGTCGGTAGAAATGTTGCCTAAGTATTTAAGGCTTCACACTTATAAGCAAACTTCATGGGACTACAGAGTTTCTGACAAGAAACGCTTATTATACACCTATAAACTATTTCTGTTCCAACATTTTTAACAGGGAGAAAACTTTTGTAAATAAATTTTCCGGTTGAATTCAGTATCTCCTTTTTTCAACTAGCTTAATCACACAGTCACATAACAAACCTAATTTCTCATATTAATACAGTGAAAGTAAAGGCAATTAGAAATAAGGGATTGGTAGTAGTAATTTGGTATTTGTTTTGACCTTTTTTGAAAATTAAAATTCCACATGAATCCTTTTTAATTTCATTACTTGATTAATATTTGATGTTGTAGAGTATATCACTAAAATCACTTATCTATAGGATAATTAATTTAACAAAGATTATTCGTATATCACAATTTGTTCAATACAACAGTCAAAGTTAAACTATTGTGAAAGAAATACAGTTTATTAATAATCGTATGAAAGTTAGATTCAGTGTTTATAATTAACTGTACTAGAATTAATCACAATTTACCGAGAGTGCTTAGCACGATTTCAGAGAAGAAACGAGAATTACAACAAAGACTCCTTTTCGTCCGTTTCATTTTCAGTAGTTGTACAGTTGCATAAGTATTAATATATCTGACACGAGTATTAATTCACTGTCTCCACATGGATTTCATCTGAAGTTGACATTGGGTAGAAAATGCTAAAGAGCACCGTGCAGCGGTTTCGTTCCAGTTTAGGACTCTATAGCAGCGAGCATCCATTAGTAGAATACCGTCATCGTTTAAGTATTCCGAAGTGACTGCGGCTCTATGTAATGAACCAGTAGAATTTGAAAACCCCAGGATATTAAGTGATTACGTGAATTATCAGACAAAATATATCCAGCTATCTTATAAAAAGGAACTTTGTCATGGTGTTTGAATTCGATAGTGATTTATTTTGAATTCTACTGTAATAACACCATCCAGATTTCTTATCGTTACTCAGAATCTAAAGTCAGAATACTATTGGTTAACACTATAAATAACGTGTATACATACCAAAGTATTACACAGAGTGTCTTTTAATACCCAGTGATATATACTAATCACATAAGTTTATTTAACACAATTAGTCCCTTTTTATAAATTTGGATTGTATTATTAGAAGACGAAGATTATCTGAAAAATGTGATGTATTTGCGCAATACATTTCAAGCAGTCTGATCGCACACTTACTTATCAAGTCAGTTAATATGAAAAATAAAGGCCAAGTGATAAGGGATCTAAGAGTAAGAACAATTAACACTACTTCTCGTTATATAATCAAGTGAGGATTACCAAGGTAGGTTAGGAGTAATAGCATATTAATTTAAATATTCCCATAATGATAATTATACAATACGATTTAAGCAAATACGCCTTTCCGGCAAATTCCTGTCAGGCTTTACAATTACATGATCGCAAAGGCATTTGAATTAATATGGTTAATCAAACATAAAATCAGA